CCTCTTCCTTCTTCCTAATCTGTCTCAGTCTATAAGCTGAGCTGTTTCCTGTGCACCAGGTGCATCTCGCTGGGTTTTAAACACCAGAGGCTCAGCCTCAAAACTCAAGTCTACATGTCACCATGTCACCACAGTAGGACAAACCGACAGACAGGTTTGTCTTGCTGTTGGAGACCTCTCGTATCACCCCCAACTGGGTCCCTGTGGCTGACTGTACCTCTGTCTGGCTTCCTAGCTTTTAATCCCCTTTCTCCTGCTCTTCTGCCCTGCTGTTTTGTGCGTCCCTGAGTTGTCCCTGGGGCTGACTGCTCCTGTGTCCGGGTTCCTGGCTTTTTATCCCCTTTCTCCTGCTCTTCCGGCCTGCTACTCTGGACGGGCCTGAGTTGCCTCTCCTCACCTAATCCCTTCAGCTGACTGCTCTTCTCTCTGGCCTCCTGGCTTTTAATCCCCTTTCTCCTGCCCTTCCCGCTTGCTACTTCGGGCGTCCCTGAGTTGTCTCTCCTCACCTGTAACCCTGGGGCTGACTGCTCTTCTGTCCGGGTTCCTGGCTTTTTATCAGAGAGATTGGTCCCAACTGTAGTGTGTGCTATATTTGTGTGATACTTGCACTGTTATTAAATTAATATTTTTTTTAAGATTGCTTATGCTTTTAAAGGGATCTCTGGAAGCATAGTGCCTAAGGCACTTGACTGCTAACTACAAGGCTAGTGGTTCAAACCCAGCAGCCACTCCTCAGAAGGAAGATGGGGCAATCTACTTCCATAGTGATACAGCCTTGGAAACCCAAGGAGGGGTCGCTATGAGTCAAGTGGACTGGACAGCACATTACAACAACAACAACACGCTTTTAAAACTCATATTTACTTTCAAAGAAAACTTTGTATCATTTCCAAAAATGAAAACCCAGTATTACTTGCCTTAGATAGAAAGTAACCATAAAAAATGCAGTGAAATTCCAACTAGAGCATATTTTATTGCGAACCCAACGTCCTGAGCTGCAGTCTGTTCTCTCTGTTAAAAAGGAAAAAGAGAGAGGGATAAATACTTGTTAAAGATCAAGCTGAGATTTTTCTCCTCAATTAGAAGTATTAAGGAAGAGCTGAAAAGCCATCCCTTCCATGCCGAGGTGAAAATATCTGCTGTGCAGTGTGTACCCCAGAATTTAGGAAGTACTGTGGTAATAGATTTCAGATGGCCCTTCATTTGATGTGGACTCCCAGTTGATTTCTTTGGTGGTAGATAGTGACTAGTAATTATTTGACTTAAAGACTCCACAGGTAGCAGTTTAGGTCAGTGGTCACTAGGCTGAGGGGATTCTAAAAGAGATAACCCTTATTCCTTCCGCTGGCCAGTAGAGATTACTGGGCCCTTGCAAAGTGGAGAACTACCAGGGAGATTGGTTTGCAGACCTTGACTTCTAAACTGAAGGAAAAGGAGGTAGAGCAATGATCTCCCAAATGTGGGGAAGCTGTCCCCCTCCTGACTCTATGGGGATCTGCTCCTACTCAGTGGAGGTGGTCTTGCCTCTGATATTTAATTTTGTCAAGGATTTACTTAAGGACTACAAGGAGGATTAGACTGCACACCCTAGTCAAATTCCCAATTGGATCAATCTCATGTCTTTAATTCTCTTGTATTTCTGCTAAAGAGACCCGTTTTATCTCCTATTCTCAAATGCTCAGTGATTCTGAGCTCATTTGTTCTCTAGAAAATGTGTTTCATCATCAGTAAATAAAGGACTTTGTATTGAATTTTTATTTGGGGGTAGATTTGCAAACATTTTGTTCTAGATACCACCAAAGGGTAGCATAACAACAAAGAATAGCTTAACGGAAAAATACCAGCTATATATTTATGAGGGTCAGCTTTTAAGAATTTTTTTTTTAAAAGAATGAAATGTTTTTTTAATAATACTTAGGGTTTTACACGTGCAATTAATTATAATCTTAAAATACTATTGTTTCAGTATAATCCATTATTTTAACAGTCCTCTTTTTCACCACTGTTAGGAATTTGCACGACATTTTAATTTGGTTATTGATAGAATCCCAGAAAATCATTTCTTACAAATAATTGGGCCATTCTCTTTATACCAGCTAGCACCAGCTTAGGGATTGTCACGTATTTTGACTTTAAAAAGTCAGTGATTAGTTAACATATAGTATGTCTTTTCGTATCTTCAGGGAAGCTCTTTCATTTACAAAGGGATCAACAATAAATACATAATAGCTATTTTCAAGTATAATAAATCAAAATTTTATTTTAGAAACTGGATCCTTTCGTAGTTAAATATTCTAAAAATTGTTCCTATGAGCAGATTCCAATGGAATGTTCCAACATTCTCCCTTAGGTCTGTGGAGAACCTGCTGTTCATTCAGCATCTAGTACTGAACTCTTAACTAACTGCCAGACAATGGTTAGGGCATGTGGGATGGAGGGAGTCAGAAATAAAAGACAAATTACAAAGTCATGCAGTGATGCAATGCACGTGATGTGATGTGATGTGATGTGATGCCTCCTAACATGATGCAGTGGTGTCACTATAGTGTACAGGGAGAATATTAAAATGCGCAGAGTCACTTTTAAGAACAAGCTCATTGACTGTGCACAAATATGAAAGATGCACTGACCCACCCCTGAGCTCTGTAAAAATCGAGGCCCATCCCAACCCAGATGCTTGCTAAATACCTTTTACTTATCCACGTCCTCATACCTGCTGGATAAGAATTAAAAATAAAAACAGGTATCCAAAGGCAGCAGTAATCTCAAGTTAGGGGTAGTCTATACAATTTTTTTTCTCTTGAGTTTCTGTTTATACCATATGTCTTTATTCTTTATCCATTGTGACTGACCTTTTTCAGTTTTAAAAATGAGTAATTAATGATTGTTTCATACCCTATGACTGTGTGTTGTTATTTCCCAGAGGTTGTAATTACACTCAGAAATCAAGGGTCTTGTAGATGAATGTGGGAAGGGTCTTCCGTGGTTGCCATTTCAAAGCAAGGTCTTAGATTCCTCCTTTTGGGCATGCAGGTGGCAGTTTAAACCCAAACCAGTTCCTGTCATGTCTTGAGAGAAGGAAAATAGCCCACAGTACAGGTCTGATTTTTTAAAAAGGCGTAAAAAAGATGGCTTAGAGGTAGAATCAGGAATACATTGAAAGAAAACTGATTGATCTAAAGAAAAGCAATCATATATATAATAGGCTAAGGACAGAATTAGAGGTGAAGGAGATTAATGGGCAAAAGGACCTACCTACCTTACTCTGTTTTTTAAATGATAGTTACAAAATAGTTCCTTTACTTATCTCACTTAAAGGTGGTACTTTGGGAAACTTGGCCGAAAAGATGCTGAGCGACAGCTCTTGTCCTTTGGAAACCCAAGAGGTACCTTTCTTATCCGAGAGAGTGAAACCACCAAAGGTAAGATAACAAGTTGAAGAAGTTGGTTTGTCATTCAAATCTGTGGATTAGTCAGAGGGAATGAAAGGCTTATCTCTAATGTGCAATGATTTTTAAGTGGCACATACCTTCCCTTCCTAGTGAGTGAAGTCCTGTTTTCAGTTTTCCCTCCAGGCTCTGAAACGGCAGACAGCTCCATCTAAACTACAGAGTCTCCAAATCAAGGCCTTCCTCCCAAAATGGGGTGGGGTAGCTTTTTCCTCCAGGCACTCAGGATCATAGAATTTTCAGAAATCCATAAGAATTATAATTTTCTGAAACTCTTACTCTCACTCAGGAGTCAGTCATATAGGTTGTTTTGCTTTTCTTTTGTTTTTTCAAATAACTGAGGATCTTACTCTTTTTCCTCCAATTGGTGACCTTTTCATTATTTAACCACTCACAGAAGCTCACAGGAGGAGATGAGTAAAAGAGAAGAAAAATCAGTAGCCTTCTAATTTGATCTACCAGACACTGGTTATGTGCTCCTCTTAAAAGTGTTGTTAAACAGAAATTTGAATCTCACTTCTAGGAAGACAGTCCTTCGATATCTTGTGTACACATTGTCACTGTCTCCAGTGATGCCCCATGGGTAAAAGAGGCAAGGACACTCACTCAGCCATGAATCTCTTTCTTCTTTTGATCTTCTTTTGATCCCAGTGAGGACTGGATCTGTGCTGTATTAGGCAATACAAATGTACTGAATAGAGTGTTGTGGGGGAAAAAAATCCAGCAAGCTTTCAGTCTCATGGGTAAAATAATTTTATTGCTAATATCTTCTGACATTTACAGGAAAGCAAGAGGTATTTTATGCCTATGTACTGAGTATAAATGCTATGTGTGTGCATTTCTCCTTGATAAGTATTCGTCAGAATCATCAAGTAGATGAGACCTGAAAAACAAATTAGTACTCTGAGTGATAGGAGCTGCTAATGCTTTACATGTTTACCAGGTGCCTATTCACTTTCTATCCGCGACTGGGATGATATGAAAGGAGACCATGTCAAACATTATAAAATTCGCAAACTTGACAATGGTGGATACTATATTACCACCCGGGCCCAGTTTGAAACACTTCAGCAGCTTGTACAACATTACTCAGGTAACTTTAATTTTAATTAGCTGTGAACCATTTGGACACTAGAGGATGTGGGCGGGGGCAGGTACAGAGGAGGAAAGGGGAAAATGGTCCAACAAATAAAAACACAGTCACTTGTGAAATGTCTCACTTTGCTAATGCCTAAAGGTGGGGCTTGTCTGAGCAGGTTCTTTTGCTGTTGCTTTTTCCATTGTGTTTGTCAATAGATTCAATAACATTCTAGCTCCTCAAGTAGAAAGCAATAGGTTTAAAAAAAAAAGTTGCTGGTCTTTTCATCTTCATCATAAAATCCTCTCAAGTATTCTTCCTCTTCCCCTGCACTGTGTAATTCCCAAGCCATGAGAGGAAGACTGAGCAGTCTCTGGAAGGACACTTACATGGGACTCTACCAGGGATGTTTTGTTTCTACCCTCACTGTATTTTCAGCACTGATGCAGGAATGGGTGTACATACATTTCCTTGTCAGGACGAGATGAATTTTGCAATCCAGTTATCATATTCTATTTCCCCACCAATACCTCTGTTTCCTATGGAGCCCTGGTGGTGTAGTGGTTAAGTGACTGCTAACTGAAAGGTCAGTGGTACAGACCCCACCAGCCACTCCATGGGAGAAAAGACCTGGTGATATGCTCCTTTAAGGATTACTATTGTTTTGTGCCATCACGTTAATTCCAAGTCACAAACTAAGAAACCATGTAGGTCCTTACTCTGTCCTTATGTGGTTGCTATGATTGGAATCTACTCAGTGGCACAAAACAATTTGTTTCCTAACTGAAGTTAGATTCATATGACCCACAATACATCTACTGTATTAAATTAAACTTTTGAAAAGTAGATGAACCTCTGTCCTTCCACTCAGATGTCACCATTATTTTGTCGTTCCTGGAAACATAGAATTATCAATTGTTTATGTGTGCAATTTATACATTTGATTAAAGAATGTAATTTTATGTGCAGTTTGTTAAAATAATTGCTTTCTTTCTTAGATTAACAAGCACATCCCACTATTGAATATATATGTAGATGCGTATATGAATATACATGTACAGATACAGATCTATCTCCTACTAAGCCAGTAGTTTTTTTGTATATATTTATATATTTTGTATTCTTCTACAGAACAGTGACAAGCCCCCAAAACACCTCTGACTTCACCTCTGCTGTTACCCTGTCTATACTCATTAAAAATATGTACATAATTTTTTGCACACACATAAAAAAGCAATCTTTTGAAAATAACAGTAAGAAATGCCTATATATTGAGGCACTGATGAGCAATTTTAAAAATTAATAGTTAGAGGATTAGTTGATTAGAGTATTGGGTAACTTTTGCTCAGTGCAGATTCTAATGAGATATTTGAAGAAAGGAAGGCAGAATATGCCTGAGCTTAGATGATATACTCAAAATGCCTGCATGTTGAAAGGCTTTCGCAAATGCTGAAATATATTTCATTACAGCCAAACATCAGCAGGATCCCTAGGGTTTGGATCATTTGAAAATATTGTGTTGGAAAGGGCACCTTAATAACATCATAAAGCTGGAAGGAGAGAAGGGATATGAAGCACAATAGACATTTTTTTAATCTCAAAAAATTCCTACTTGAGTTAGATTTGTTTTTATATTGGCTTTTCTTCTTCCCTCTTTCCCTCTCTCATACAATAAAATGCCTCTGAAATATTAACACATAAATAATTTCCTGCCTAAACATCTGAGAACCTGATTCCATCAAAAAGAAAAGAATAAAAGTTACATTCCAACAGATTGCTGGAGAAAAGCATTGCATTTGCTTTTCCTTGACCTAAGGGGCTTGGGGGTGAGGGGTGAGGCAGACAGGGGCTCTGTCCACCTCACAGCCTAGATTCTATGCAGCTCTTGTCACCTCCTTCATTCCCCGTTCTTTGTTACCTTTTCTCACCTGGCTGATTTTTAGGTTGGCATGTAGGTAGTTTCCCTCCTTAGTATTGCTAAATTCTGAAATGTGTATTATTTAAAATTAAATAAATAAATCTCCAAATAACCTCTTAAAAGATAACTACATTTGGAAACCCGAGGGGGCAGTTTTCCTCTGTCCTGCGGGGTTGATATGAGTCAGAATTGACTCAGTGGCAGTGAGATTTCTTTTTTTCTTTCTCTTGGGGAATAGAATTCTCTCACATCCTTGAGTTTCTGCACATTTTAGTTTCAGTTCTTTCTCCTTTCAAATCAGACTCCTAAATTATGTGCCAAAGACTGTTATAAAGGTTAAAGGGGGAAAAGGGAACTGTCAAAGAAACAGTGCGAGAGCATCTTCCTGGTAGAATAGAGTCAGGAATGCCAAAGAAATCACGAGAGAAGTGAGACCTTCTTTGCCTGCCAGATACAGTCGGTAGCCTTACCAGTTTATAACAGTCTAACGTTCTATATCCTCTACTAAATTTATACAGTTTTAAATATATTCATAGCAGTGAGGTCCCCAGTTCCCTGGGTAACCTAGATATTAGGCAGGTGAGAAAGTATAGTCATGCTGACATTCGGTGGACCAAACATACCTTTTGTTTCCAGAAAGCATATTATTAGCACATTGGGCATATTTTTCTTTCGTAAGTAAAAAATCCAAACTAGACTATGTCTACATGTATATGCATAAACTGTGTTATATCTGGGTGTATAAAGTAGTCCAAGTTCAAAATGCCCCCCTAGTGTTCCTCAAATGAACATGTTTCCATGTGTGGTGTCTAGTCTTCCAAGACGTGTGTTATTTCTCGGCTGCTGTAGCACTGTTCTGAGTAGCACTGTATGCTGGCTGATGTGGGTTTGTATACCTGTGAGTGTTTTGTTTCACGTGTTCTGCTCTTCTCTCTCCCTCTCCTGCCACTGTCTCCGTCCTCGCTCCATCAGAGAGAGCTGCAGGTCTCTGCTGCCGCCTAGTAGTTCCCTGTCACAAAGGGATGCCAAGGCTTACCGATCTGTCTGTCAAAACCAAAGATGTCTGGGAAATCCCTCGAGAATCCCTGCAATTGATCAAGAGACTGGGAAATGGGCAGTTTGGGGAAGTATGGATGGGTATGCTGAGACTTATTTATTCTATTACTAGCTTCCTCGTTTGGGAAAGCCCAAACATCAAAGATGGAAGGTGAAAATAAAGACTTCATGAGCAGGAAGAAAATTTAAATTACTGATAGTGGGAAATGATTTTGATTTCAAAATTCTGGAATTTCTAGAAAAGGAATAGTAAATATTCAAGATTGGCAGATTGGCTCAAATTGTAGTATTAGGTGAGCCTCAATTCATAAAACATTAAATGGTACAAGGAATAATCCAGCCTGCATAAAATGTCTTGCCTTTCATTTCTAGCTGCAAGTATTTGTTGAAAAGCTCAATGTCACCCTGAAGGGCAAGTCACCTTCCATCTTTCCTAGTGCATGCGTAATTATGGATTATAAGGACTGTGTTTTCTTTATTAATTCCTTTCCCTGTAGAGAAAGCTGATGGTTTGTGTTTTAACTTAACTGTGATTGCATCGAGTTGTACCCCACAAACTTCTGGATTGGCTAAAGATGCTTGGGAAGTTGCACGTGATTCATTGTTTCTGGAGAAGAAGCTGGGTCAGGGGTGTTTCGCTGAAGTGTGGCTTGGTAAGGCAGAGGGCACATTTTGTTTTGGCTGCATCTAGAGCCAACTAAAAGGATGGTTTTGAACAAAAACACACAAATCTACATGCATTGACGTTTGGACCAAGAAACTTAACCGGGATAGCTAAACAGTCAGGCCATCCAGATTTGCAGAAAATAGTAATTCCTTGCTGTGCATATCTGTCCTGTGTTATGTGGTTAATTAAGTCACTCACAGAACAGGAAGACAGTACAATATGAATCTGGTGTTTCTTCTTTCTAAGAGACAGGAAGGTAAGATATTGTAGATGGGCTACTTTAGGGCCACACTATGGGCTTTTTGCTCATTGTGCCTGGGTTTGGGTCTTAGACCATCTGATAAACTTGGGACAAGTGGCTTATTAACCTTTTGGAGCCTCAGTTCTCTCATCTGTAAAATTAGAATGATGCCTGTTTCATAGGATTGCTTTGAGGATTGCTCGGGACAATATGTTTAAAGTTCCTTACAGGGTCAGTAGATACACAATGCACTGGGCACTCCCCAGTGGTTTTCTAACAACCTTTGTGTCTGTAGCAGCTTTGCTTAGAGAGAATACATGGATTTAGACTCCACCCAAAACATCTGTCGTTAAGAGAATATTTGATTGTGATACTTGTGAAATCCTCCCTCCTTGGAGCCAATTAAAAAACAATATAGATAGGTACCTTAGTTATGTATGGGTGTCAGTGTTTACGTATGGTCTAAATTAAAAGAATTAATACATTAATGTCATGAGACAAAGTATATGTAAACTGCTGTATGGAAAGTGAATTTGCTCTGTAAATCTTCACCCAAATCACAATAATAAAAAAATTTAAAAAAAAGAATTAATATATCTAAGCACTTATAACAGGGCCTGGCACATAGTAAGTGATATATAGATATACGTAAGTAGAGATACATAGACACACACACACACATTCAGACATATGTATATATGTGTATGTGTTAGCTATTATAATACTATTATCATTATTACTAGATTTCACAGTTCACATCATTGTCCCTCTCTCTCTGGACTTTAACTCAAATACTGTAAAATATCTAAACATGGACAATTTGTAGTTGAAATTCTGGGACCTAAGAATTTTCATCAAATCACTCACATTCTTAGGAAGAATTAGATCTCATAAGAAAATTTGTTTTCAAACTTTATTAATTATCAGCTTTAAATCTTCACACATTATCGTTATGATTTTGTTTCCCATTGAACATAAAGTGTCATTTTATGATAATTCAGAATGGGGATAGGATACCTGTGTAATTAATGGGGTTGTAATTAAAGAGGAAATATCACTCTATTTCAAATTTTGGAATACTGACACTCAAATAGCAAAAATCACCTTACAGAGTATCAGATTTCCCATTGACATTTAGTGGTCAGCTATTTTATAAGATTTCATTGAACTTTTCTTTAAGTCCCTTGTTCTTTAATAATTTATATTTTTGTAGGTCACATCATGTAATTTTATGAACTTTGTATTTAACAGGGTAACAAGAGTTGGTCCAATTTAGATAATTTTTTAAATTCTAAAGTTAATTATATTAAGTATACAAATTAGTCTTAATTTAAACCAGCTGTCTTTTCGAAATGTAAAATACTATAATTTAATTTAGCATTTTTTTCTGTTCCTCTTATAAAATAGTTATAATTCACAGTCATGCAACGAATAAGGGAATACATACAAAGCCTAGAGTTTGGGGGACGGGAAGGTAGCTAGGGCTGAAAGAGACTTAAAAGATAATCCAGTTCCATTCCTGTATTTCACAGATAAGATAACTCATTATTATCTTAAGCCAAGACTTGTCTGGTTTTTAACATTTTAAGTTTAAATATTTGTGTTCCCTTTTAGCTGCCATTTAATTTTTTCTAGTCTAGCTGATAGAAGTCATTGTTCTTGGTGGCTGACCTTTAGTACCTGAGGGATTTTTCCTTACCTGGTTAAGTATTGGCAAGTAGACTGAGGACTTCTTGCCAGTGCTTATTGGCATGCTTAGTTCAACCACTAAAGGACTCAGTCAAGTAGCTTAACCATTGAAGACAATTAAAAGTCTAGAGATGTTTCCAAACATCCTCAAGTGTGTTACCATATTTAAAAAAAAAGAAAGAAAATGGCAATCTCCCATAAAATCAAACTTAAGTAATCTAGTTTTTTTCTATGCTCACTTGACTACCTAAAGAATGGTTGTCAGATGGCCAGACCTGCCCTAACCCCTGGACTTTCTCATTGTAAAGAAAAGAGCAGAGCTCTAAAGTTAATTTGTAATCATGTGGCTGAGCCAGGAAAGGAGAGCCATGTAATCAGAATAAGAAAAAATAATAATAATAAAAATTATAAACTGACCATAAGTAAAACATTTTTCTTTTGAAAATACTTGACAAAGTCCTTAAAGTTGGTCTGTACGTTGTTCTACAAAAAGTAAGTTAAATTTTTTAAAAAACTTAAAAATTTAACTTTATGCTAATAGCTATTGGTTAAAAAACCTTTTCCTCCTTCAAAAGAGAATGTTTGGTTTGACTTAATGTTGTGGGATGTTTGTAGGTACCTGGAATGGAAATACAAAAGTAGCCATAAAGACTCTTAAACCAGGCACAATGTCCCCTGAGTCATTTCTCGAGGAAGCACAGATCATGAAGAAGTTGAAACATGACAAGTTGGTCCAGCTCTACGCAGTGGTGTCTGAGGAACCCATCTACATTGTCACCGAGTATATGAATAAAGGTTAGGCCATGTCTTCCCTGCCTCCACCTTCGCCGTGACCTTGAGGGAAAGAAACAGCTGCTTGCTGCTTTCCTAGTTTCTGCATGAATAAATATTCCCTTTGGGAAGAACCAAGTGTGCTCACTAATGAGAACATTTTAGAAGCAGAACTTACGTTCACCCCCAAATCTTTGCAAAATCCATCTTTTGCATGCTGTACATCTTAGGAATTCGAGCTCCTCTCCATAATTAAAACATTCCTTTTAACTTTTTCATGACCTGTGAGACATATGTTATTGTTGTTATTTGCCGTCGAGTCAGCCCCGACTCATAGCGACCCCTCCTTGGGTTTCCAAGGCAGTATCACTACAGAAGTAGGATTGCCCAACCTTCCTTCCGATGAGTGGCTGGTGGGTTTGAACTGCCAGCCCTCTGGTTAGCAGTCAAGTGCCTTAGGCACTATGCTACCAGAGCTCCTGTGAGACATATATTGCCCACCAATTTCAGCTCTTCAGGTTTCTTCAGAAGCTGCTATCCCAGTTGTAGTACATGCTGCCACCTGATGGGGACCTGTATAACTCTGTGAATCTGAAGAAATATGCCTCACCGCACCAATCCTACCACCAGAGTCCACTTGGGACATATGTGTCCTACATAATTGTATCAAAGTTTATATTACCTCAAAAAAAATTGTTTTTCCTTAATTTCTGCATGCCTGCCATTACTGAGAACTCATGGTATCAACAAAAAATTCAACAGAAAATAATTCAGTAATGGAAGTGTTAATACAGGGGTTGGTATGGAGGGCTATGATAGTTTGCTGTTATTTTTGAATGAGTAGCTTGTATTAAATTTCTCTTTTGCAGTAACAGCAGATACTAGTCTCTCAGCTAAGTTTAGTCTCCATTATTTTGGCATCTTATCTTTTTTTTCATCTCTCTTCTTAAACATCACATGAAGAAATGATGTACTTTTAAAGAGCACATTTTATTCTCATCCTCTCTCTCCTTCTCTCCCTCCCTCCCTTTCTCATTCTCTCTAATCAAAGCAGTATTGCTGGGGATAAGGCCAAAGATCACTTTGTTTTGGAGAAATAGATGAACCAAACAAACAGCCTTAAAAGGCAATGCATTGTACATCAGAGGACACCACTGCCCTTTTTCTTTTCCACGTACTTTCTTTTAAAATTCTTTCCTGGCAGAGTTTTGCCCTTTGTATCCAGGGTTATTTTGTGAGTAACTTCATGATTAAAGCATGAAAAAAATCTCCAATGACCATCCTGAGCCTCAAGCCTCTGCAAATGATTATTCCAGCCTTGGTGTTGGTTCTTAGCCTCCTTAGGCTGCTTACACTAATGGCTCTAAAGCTCCAGCTGTTTCGGTTCAGATGTCTGATTTAAGGGTTGGCTAGCTTTGATCTAACTACGGGAAGCTACTTACCCCACCCTGTATTTCTCAGATACTCTTTTCTTAATTTAAAAATCTTTAAGTAAGCTAGGCCAATAGTTCTCCAACTTTACTGTTTATCAGAATCACAAACAACAGATTTCTGGCCCAGCCTCCAGAGTTTCAACAGGTCTGGAGTGGGGTCTGAGAATTTGCATTTCTACCAAGTTCCTTGGCAATGCTGTTGCTGCTGGTCTGAGGACCACATTTTGGGACCCACTGGGCTGGGCTGTTTTTCCACATCACTCTCTGTGCAGGGCTCATGCCCAAATGACGTTGAAGTGGTGCAGTTCCCCACCGGATCCTCCTTATGGCATAAAGGAAGATTAAGTCCCATTTCTTCTGGTTTTATCAAATTTTTGTTGTAATCCTTACATGGATTGCAATGGAGTCTAAATTGTTTATTTTTAAAGAGTAAAGCTGTTGCCTTTCAATGCATAGAATTTTCTCAATCCTTGTTTTTGTATAAGCCTTTTATTGTTTTAACTGATGACATTATTCCATTCAGCTCCCTTCTTACTTCTAGTTAAAAAAAACTATATACAGCCCTCTATTGGAAACCGTCAGATCCAACTCAGAGCAACCCCTCCTTGGGTTTCCGAGGCGATACCACTACAGAACTAGATTGCCCAATCTTCCTTCTGAGGAGTGGCTGGTGGGTTTGAACCACCAGCCTTCTGGTTAACAGTCAAATGCCTTAGGCACTGTGCTACCAGAGGGGTCGCTGTGAGTCGGGTCTGACTCGATGGCATATAACAACAACAATTGGAAACCTTTAGCTTTCAAAGTAAATCTAAATAAATGGTTTTGTGTTTTGTTCATAGGAAGTTTACTCGATTTCTTAAAAGATGGAGAAGGAAGAGCTCTGAAATTACCAAATCTTGTGGACATGGCAGCACAGGTAGGTCCTGTAGTATGTGGATTCATGCCTTAGAATTAATAGTGTACCAGTCCATAGAGTCATGGGGTAACGTGTCCTGTTTCCTGGGATATAGGTTGCTGCAGGAATGGCTTACATCGAGCGCATGAATTACATACATAGAGACCTACGATCAGCAAACATTCTAGTTGGGAATGGACTTATATGCAAGATCGCTGACTTTGGATTGGCCCGGTTGATTGAAGATAATGAGTACACAGCAAGACAAGGTGGGCATTTGCATGACAGTTGTTCTCAATCATATGCTTGAGAATGATCATTGACTGCTTGACATTTCTTTCCTTCTTCCTTTCCCTTCCCCCTTTGAGAAGTGATTCCTCAACTGGGCTTTTTCTCCTTTGTCTGGTAGGAATTTGATCACGCTGAGGTGGGAGACTGTAGTGGGTTCAGTAGATAAATGAGATATGGCTTGTCAGGAAGTGTACACTGTGGCTTCCTAACTTATGCTGCCTTCCTAACAGAATCTAGGCTTGGGATACTTTGTTTTTGGCAAAAAGGCTACAGAAAGGCAAGAGATAAGTCAAGTTATATGTAACTCATCAGTCAATTGGTCAGAGTCACAGCAGAAAATAGAAGGCACACTCAAGTTGTAGAATTTAATAGTGGGGTTATTTACAAAGGTATGATCAGGGTTTAGGAAAAGCAACAGAGAATGGTGCAGTATCCCAGAGCTAGTAATAACAATGGAACCGGGGACGGAAAGGCAAGGGAGATAGGGAGCAGGCACTAGAACACAGGGCAGGCAGTGGTGGATAGAGCCCCTTTGGTGGAGAAATACAGTAGGAATAGGTCTGGGGACTAATATCTAACCGCACTTTTCAGCCCTCTTCTACATCTTCTAACAAACCCAACCAGAAGCCAGATGTCAAAGGAACCCAGTAATGTAGTCTCTAGGGTCCAGGAGGAGTCCCAGGGTGGCACAAATTGTTAAACACTCCACTACTAGCCGAGAGGTTGGCAGTTGGCACCCAGAGACATCTCAGGGACAGGCCTGGAGATCTGCTTCTGAAAGGTCCCAGCCTTGAAAACCCCATGGAGCAGTTCTGCTCGTCACACATAGGGTTGCCTTGGGTCAGAATTGACTTAATGACAGCTAACAACAAGTAGGCCCGGACAGGGATTAAAGAGGACCTAGAAGGAGTACAGATGTTAACAGAGCATGTTGTTGTTGTTGTTATGTGCCATCAAGTCAGACCCAACTCATAGCAACCCCTCCTTGGGTTTCCGAGGCAGTATCTCTGTGAAAGTAGATTGCCCAACCTTCCTTCTGAGGAGTGGTTGGTGGGTTTGAACTGCCAGCCTTCTGGTTAGCAGTCAAGTGCCTTAGGCACTATGCTACCAGAGCTCCTTAACAGAGCATAGTCAATGAAAATGTTCCACTTCCCTTAATTATCTCCCTTCACCCTACTCCCTACAACAAATTTGTAGAAATTAGCCTTTTGAGAAATACATCCTAAACAAGCAGCCACTCCAGTGGGACAACTTTTCAGATGCTATTAGAACACCAGGTACAAAGGAGGGTATTCCCAAGGGTATTTCCTATCTGCTTTGATATCCACATAATGGTCACCAGACATTCCATTTTCATATATTGCACCAGATGTTGTGGAAATTGGTGTGTAGTTTGCAACAACACGTAGGCTCCTGTGTTGAATGTAGTGTCCTTATCTGGAGAAAACAGGTAACTTTTGTTACCGTTTTTAACCAAATCCTATTCCTATTCCAACTAAGCTTGAACAGTGACTGGAATACAGTGTAGGATGGTGCTTTCTGTTGGATTTCACAATGACCACCTCTGGAATATCTCTCTCTCTCTTTGATGGTAGAGGGATGGGATGGGATTCTTTACTTTCATGCCAATTCTTCCTTCTTTTTTTTGACTCTGAGAATGGAAACATTCTCAGCAGTCAAGTGATGGGGAAAAATTGTTAATCTAAGACAGTGGCTGGTACAGATACTGCCCAAATGCTAAATTACATGTTGGTCAGACAGCTCAACTATTTGGATTTTCCCAACACGTGGCAGCTCTTGTCCTGGAGCCAAATGCCCACACACCAGGCATGCCTGTGCAGTACAACACACACATACACACACACACGTGTGGGGCCAGATGGCTGTATCTCTAATCAAAGGCACATAAGCAGCTTTGATTAGCACTGGCAGTCCAGAGAGAAATAAGAATGTGATTTTGAGGCAAAGTGAGATAAGAGGGTCTGAAGTACAACTGGGTCTGAGATCTGTCCCTAAATGAGGAACTTGCCCTGAGGTGATCCTGTCAGATCTCCACTCCTCAGACCCAGAGCAAGAGTGAGTGAATATTGTAAGACAGGAGTATTTGGGTTAGTAAAGGACCACAATGGAGTCACTCTTTGTACTCATGGAAGTGCCCTTTTGCATGTGAGTAGAGCACCCATGGCAAAGAGAATGGTTCAGGATTTGTTTCTCCCCTTTTCCAGAGTTTGTGGTTAACACTCTTGAACTCTTGATAAGTGAGAAGGTTATAGGACTACAAGCTAAAGGATACTAACAAGGGTGCTGCTGGCAGGGCTGGATATTTGATTCATGGACACTTTGCTGGAGTGAAGTACCTCGTGATATGGCCCTGGATGAGTAGCACCCAGGAGAAGATGCATGAGGAGCCCCTTACTGGCTTCCCTTTGCATCGTCTTGCAGCTCTTGGAGCAGTCCAGAGTGGCCCCTCGACTCTGGCCTCCAAGGCTGCCTTCCTCCCCATTGAGTGCTCTGGTGATTTCTGTCACTTCTTCACCTCCACCCTTGTTTTCCCAGGTGCTGCTTGAAACCCTTTCCAAGGGCCAGCTTTATACCCTTTGTACCATGATTCATTTACTTAATTTCCAAATAGAGAGCCCTACCCTTACTCCTTAAAACTTTTTTTTTGTTTTGTTTTTTGCCTCCTTTTCCCTTTTCCAAACATCTTCAAATTCATGCCAAAGCCTGGAAAAAAGCTGAGGAGCAGTAAATGAACTAGAGAACTGAACTCAGTGGGGAGCATTAGGGCCTCTTGATTTCAAAGGAAAATAAAAGGAACACTATCCTATAATAGAAAGGGAGGGCAGAGGCATTTCTAGAATGTCTACAAAGTGTTAGTTAGGCTAAGAGGTAAGTGTGAGGAAACAGAGAAGGAAACAGAAACCAAACTCAGGAGCTATGTAACTTACACAAAGTCACACTACTAGTAAATGACAGAGCCAGGATTTGAATCCAGTTATGGCTGGCCCAATTGCACTTGCCCTCTTAAGCTAACTACCTCTGATCAAGACAGTGGTTTAAAAAAAAAAAAAACAGGAAAATACCACAATGAAATAACACTGCACACCCTGTATAATGAGCTATGATTAAAAAAAAAAAAAAAATGGAGCACAACAGATGTTGGCAAGGATATGGAGAAATTGGAACCCTCATCCATTGCTGATGTATTGTAAAATAGTGCAGCTGTTGTAGAAAACAGTTTGGAGGTTCCTCAATAAGTAAAACAGAGAATTACCAAATGATTCAGCAATTCCACTCCTAGTATATACCCAAAAGAATTAAAAGCAGGAATACAAATAGATATTTGGACGTGAGTGTTCATTGCAACACTATTCACAATAGCCAAAAGGTAGAAACAACCAAAATTTCTATCAGCAGATGAATGGATAAATAAAATGTAGTACATACATACAGTGGAATATTACTCAGCTATAAAGAGACATAAAGTTGTGATACATGCTACAACATGGATGAATCTTGAAACATGCTGAGTGAAGTAAGTCAGTCACAAAATAGCACTTATCTAAAATAGGCAGATATGTAGAGACTAAAGTTTATTGTTACCACTGACAGGTGGGAGGGAGGGAAAGAAGGAATCATTGCTTAGAGAAGACTGAACTTCTGTTAAGAGTGATGGAAAATTTGGAAGTGGATAGTGGTGATGGTTACTCATATAAAAGTAATGTCACTGAATTAGACATCTAAAGATACTGAAATGGGAAATTTATATAGGGGGCAGGGTATGGAGGCACAGGTGTCAGACCTCCTCTAACTTCACAAGAGAGAAAGAGAATCAAGAGGAACGTCAACAGCCCAAGGCTGATTCCTATGAGCAGAGGTCAGACATGTTCCCACTCCAGCCTTTTTGCCATTTCTGACACCAACCATCGCTCCCAGTAGCACTCTCTGCTTCTCTGCTGCATTCAATATTTGTTGAAATGACCACACACAACTCACAGACAATACTCAAAATTATGGAGTTTAATTAGGGAAGTAATTGGTTATAATTCAGGATCAGAAGCAACTCAGGATACAGTTCTTAAACCAGGACAGTTGCTTCTTAGCCATGCCGTAGGTACTCTTCTGTCTGGCCTTGGCCTCTCAGCCCTATGACCCTTGGCCTCTGCCATGCTTGGGCAAGTGTTACAGAACTCTTTAGCTCTGGAAATAGGTGCCCAGTGAGGCTTCCTACCCCACCAGCAAGCTTCCTCTTCCCCTGAAGGCACTCAGCTTTCTGTCTCCTTAGGCTAGGAAGCCCAATTCTTGTCTTGTGCTGGTCTCTTGGTTCTGCTGCCACTATTTCTCTGCCACTGCTTCTCAACAACTCAGTTCAGGGATCTTGAGTGAGGACACATTCCACTCCTGGCTCTTCTTTCTTGATGGTAGTGAGATACCCTTTCTGCCTCTGAGATGGCTTGTGTTAAGCCTAACAAGATGGCAAAACTGACCAATCCCCATGTTAAGGATCCATACAGCTTATTTGCGCAGTCCCAACCCAACAAGCATGCCATGCAGCTTATTTACATTATTAGCAAGCTATCCAGTCCCTTTAGTGGGCTATAAGCACCTCACATTTGTGTAGTCCCATCCAGTGGGAGTCACGAAGACCATGGTTAAAAGAGCCATATTGAGTAATTCCCTGCACCACAATATATGCTCCCACAATTAAAAAAAAGAGAGAGAGAAGAAAAGGGGGAAAAGAGTATTAGTCATGATAATTATCATTCTCTTTTCTGTTTATTTTATGAAAAGAAAATGTAAGGGACACTTTCTAATATGTACATATGAGGAGGAAAAGAGCATTTTCAGGCTCTGGGACAACCCAGCTGTTTATAAAATTCCTCACAAAGGCCTGGCCTGCCCTGGCCTCTTTTCAAGGCAGCAAAGATCTGATGTATACCCGCTGGTGTACTCTGCAGATGGCATGCATGCTGCATGC